GCTCCCCTCAGCTCACTGAGGCTGGTGTGGAGAAGACCTGAGACAGTCCAGGTCACACTGAGATTTGGGGTGAGAAAAGGAAGATTTGCCTGACTCCAGAGGTCATGATCTGTGGCATCCATGAGCAGTTCTTTACTGAGGCTGGACTAGAAATTGCCACAATCACACATAAGGAGTTCTGTAGGCCTGCACCAATAAATAAATAAATTGCCTTTCTATCGGCTGGAGGGATTTTGGTCTTTGACTCTGTTTTTGTGATTGTTCACTTGGCTGAAACTCGTTGCATTGAAGTGTCTCTTAAGAAATGCTTTTAGCCCCAAAGCCATATTAATATTTGAACAGTTTTTCTCGAGCAGTGCAACAGCTGTGCAATGTGAAATAAAGGCATTTTTCTCTCTTTCCCTGAGCACCTCTAAAGCATCAATTGGTAAATGGAGAAGAAGGGGAATTTTTTTTTCTGCAGACCCTTATGTAAAATACCAAATATTAACAATCCACCACCCAAGCCTTCTCTGGTGCTATAGATTTGATCTTAGCAAAACTCTGTGTATTGCTGAAATGCACTCAAATATTGAGTACCTAAATATAAATTACTCTGGGCAATCTCCTGTACTGAAGGTTGGCTCGCTCAGTTCAATAAATGTATGTGCATGATGCTTGTGTTACATAGAGAGATACCCAAATGGATCCTTAGACCCAAATGCCCACAAACTGGAAAAGAAATTCACTTCAGCTGATGATCTCTTTAAAAAAAAAACAAACGGGAAGTACCAAGATGAGCTTGAGATTTGGAATAATCACAGGGCTCCAAACTTTTGGTTTCATGTTGAGCTTACACTGGGCTGGCCATGCTGCTTTGATAGAATAAGGATAGTTTTATTAGCTCAGAGTTCATTGAACCTTTTCTGCTTTTTACTGTTTTTCATTTTGGTACACAGCTTTGCCCCCAGACCTGAAAAAGGATTAAAATGCCAGATAGGAGACAGATCACTCAGCATTTCTAATCACATACCAGAAATCTCAAGACACATAGTTCTCACAGGGTTTTCTACTCTTTGTAGACCATAAAAGACTCAGATAACCTTCTGAAGTCCACTCTGATCTCTTTAGTCATTAAAAAATAAGTTTTTACTGAGAAACTAAACTAAGTTCCTGCTGCAGTGGTCACATTCAATCCATCCAGTTTCACTCCACTGCTTCAGAAGTTACTTATGCATTCATTCACTGACAATAACAGAAGTCTTCATTCAAAACAACATTTTGACAGTTGAAACAAGACTGGAACTATTGGGAAAAAAAAAAAAGCCCTGGAGTACTGCAGGGAAACATTTCCATATATATTATTCCATCATTTCATTTCAGATGGTTATAGGCATTTGCTTTCTAATTATATTTCATGTTCATGTTTCAGAAATGCCCCAACTGTTGTGGGTGGAAGAATAGACTCACCTGCTCAGCCTCCCTGAGAAGCAGGCAAACACTGAATCACCTAAACTGCAAACTGGTAAGTTTAGTCTTGCATTTTCCATTACCTTCACCACTACGAAAGTGAATTTCAAATGAAGCAAGTGATTGACCTTCTTTCAGTGAGCTTCCTGGAAATTCCAGTCTTAGTAAATTAGTACTTTTGGTGCATGTTCTTCTGCAAGGTAAGGCAGTCTGGTAGAAACAGCCAATTTGAGCTGCCAAAGTGCTTAGTGGCATCAGTGTAACTACTTCGTGTCCTATTTATCTGTCTGTGATAAAACCTTTTGGTCTTGGCCTTGCTGAAGAAGTTGATGCTTTCAAAAATTCCAGCCTTTGTGTTTTTTCATTGAATTGTTGCGTGTTTAAATTAGAGTTGATATTATTTATTTGCTCTTTATTGAGAGGCACTGCATTTCAGGCTCTGGGCACAGTCTGCTTTTTCAGTACAGGTTTGTACAACACCTAAATCACAGTCCCTCATGCTGGTAAAGATAATAAATGTAGGAAGATAACGCCCTGCCTTGAAGAGTGATGCTTCTCCCGATGTGTTAATCTGCAGCTTACATTTGGGGTAGCTGAAAATAGATCAGATGGAACCTGCTCTGAGAGGGAAGAGCTTCTGCAAACACACAGAATCCTTTCTTAGGATCTGTGTTTGAATGGCAAACAGTAAAAAGTCACAAGCCACTACAGTGTGCTGTGCAGGAGCTCTCAGCCATTTCTTTCTATGGCATAATTAAACACAAACAGGTAACCAGGCAGACACCACACTCACACCCACATTCACAGCCTGTGATCCAAAAGGGGAAAAAAAAATCAGCCATTTGCTGAGGGTCTTTTTTTTTATGGTTTGGAGGTGACTTTGCATTTCAATCATCTGAGCTGAACATTTTAAGAAAAGGAGTAAAATAGCGAGGGGGAGAAGGAGGGATGAGGTGTTCTGAGTCACTGGGGGCTGTGATGCCGAATATGTGCAGAAACAGTGGCATCTAGTGGGCAGGTCCTCAGCTGAGGGAAGGCAGCAGGCCCTGGATATGGAGCAAGTCAGCAATTGCAGCTAATGGTTATCTTTCTCACTTCCGTGGATGAAAGGTTTTCCCAAGCCTTTTGTAATCCTTTTCTTTGAAAGCATTTGGAAATCAACTATTTTTCCAGCTTTCCCACCTTCAGTATACAACTTTCAGGACACTTCTGTTCCTATTTCATTTATATTAAGCCCTCTCGTGGCTTCCACAGGCAAATTCTAATTCTGAATTATTATATCTTAATATGATATAGATTATCGTAAATCTTCACCCGGTAGGAAAACTAATGGTTTGTATGCATGTATAAAAGTCCAGCATTATCCCCCAAGATTTTAGGCATGGACAAAAATAAACCTCCAACTAATCCTTGAACACACTCAACCTAGTTCAACTTCAGATGATTTCCAGCACAGCCTTGAAGGAAAGATCTGAGAGAATAAAATCACACTGAAGGACTCTGAAACAAATCTTCATTACACCATTTCTGTAGCTATAACTAAGTATAATATTTATGCAGTGTTTACGTTTTATGCTAATCATGTATAAGTTTCTTCACTGCTGAGTCATAATAAATGAGCTAATTTATTTATACCTGATCCTATGATCCTGTTCTCTTATTAGTCCACTGAATTATGTGTAAAACACTCTGTGTGTGTTATGGACACGCAGAAGTGTATAATAAGCAGGATGAGGGGTTGCCACATCCATGGCAACAGCCTAAAGCAGACACACTCACACCTTCACTCTCTCTTTAGCCTTCAGAGTTTGCCAGTGCTGAGCAAACTTAGGAAAGTCTTCTGGACTGGGCTGGGCTGGGCTGGCCTCCTCCTCTTCTTTGGCTGCCTCTCAGGGAGGCTGAAGGGTGTTTCTGTGTTTACTTGCAAGGCCCAAATTAATTTGTATGAATGGAAGACTTGGCTTCTTAAATCTGTCAGAAAAGCTGGATGTCTTAAAAAGCAATATCTTGGCTATGTTCTTCGTGATCACAGGATTCCAGAGAATCCAGTCTAGGGATTTTTTATTTTTAATTTCAAAATTTTCTGTTCTCTCTCTTTTTCTTTACACTATTTTTCCCCCCTGTTTAAGACTTTCCTATATGGTGTCTGCTGATTTTCTTGCCTTGATGGACCAGGAGGTTCTTCAATGGTCAGTTCTAAAGTAGAAGAGAAGTGTAGATACATTCAAGAGAGACTCTGCTTTTGTAAAGAAGCTTAAATGATGGAATTCTAGAAACACTGGTAATGGTTTTGATTTGAACCTGAATGCAAATATGAGTTGCCTCTTTTGCCCATTGACTAGATGAGTGGGCTAAAGACTATTAACGCTATACCATAATATCTTCCCTTATGAAGTGGGAGAGAACATGGATCATTGACCTGGAAGTACTTCACCTTTCTATGTTTTTAGTTTTCTCCTTGTTCATTAGATTTAATAACACTTAACTTTTCTTTTGAGTTGCCTATATGAGATCCTTCAGCCCTATTGTGAAAAAGCAAATTTTAAAACAATAAACAGTCTCCATTCCACATGTTTGTTTTAGGATTAGCTCAGTGTTACTGAGGTTGGCCTAGAAGCTCCTATTTAACCTTACCAGTTATCTAACAAATGATTGAATATAACTAGATGGGAGTTCTTTTATTTCAAAGAAGTAATTGAAAATCGACTTTCACAGGGTGAAAGTTGGCATAATTGGCATCAGCATGAATTTTTCATTGTGCAAGTAAAAACAGAGCCAGGATTTCACCTAATGACTTTAACTCAAAGAGATATGCAAATTTAGATCTGTGTATTGTGAGTATTATGAATGAAGCCCACAATAGCAGCCTGATTATGCTTTTTTACACTCCCAGATTTAATCTAAGATTTATCTTGGCAGTAGGGGAAAGCAAGTCTTTGATGCTTTGAGATTTAAATTATTTCCTTGGAGTCATCTAGGGGAGTTCTCTTACTGGAAGAAAGTATAGTGGAAGGACTGTTGATCCATTCCAGCCTATCAAAAGCTCTGTAGCAGTAATTACCTTATATATCTTCCTAAAAATGTGTTTTATTTTGCTACCAGTCCTCAGGCTCTTTGAGTGACTGCAATGAGGAGCTCTGAAAGTTACTTTGGTCCATTCATAACTAATTCTCTTGCCTTTACAGATCATAACAGTCGTGTAAGAGCCATCGAGAAACTTTTCATGTTGTTTTGCAGATATATGTTTGCCATCTGACTGTACAAGACATTCTGTTCCAAGGCACAGGTTATAGAGGCACACAGGCAGGAAAGGGTTGGCTGGATACATGTAACCCCTCCTGGCAGAATTCTAGAGGAAAGGGATAGTTATGCAGAGAAATACAAAATTGTTAGACTGCACTGTAGTGCTTCCCAGCTGCTGATCCTAAAAAGTCCTCTGATGTTTCCTTAGTACCTCACAATACTGAGCCTCACTTCCAGTGATTTTTGTCAGCAAATAGTATGGAAGACTAAGGTAACAAAATCATCTGAAAATGGAATTGAGCCAAGCTTTTATTATGAAACAATACATGAAATACTCATCAGGCAATTAAACAGAGTGTTGTGTAAATGTTATGTCTTCATGCAATATTGTTATTTAACCTAGAAAACTGTAATTAGGGATTCCTCTAAAGTCCAGAAAGCTGGCTGCCTCTTCATGTTGATATTCTCCCATTTTCTATGGACCTCTCCCTCTAAGTCCTCTTGCTTCAGACAGTCTAAAGCTGTGCCCTTTAAAGGGCTAATCAGGGATTTATTCTTGCCCATAACTCAGAAACTGGGGGAAACCCTTGGTTCATTTATTCATGCATGCAATCATTACTGGTAGAAAATATATGGTGGTCTATAACATATGTAACCACTTGTAGCTGGAAGTTTTGCTCTATCACTAAGATTGCACTGTATTGCAAAGAGGTTCAGGTCTACAATGAGCACGTAGCCAATGCAGGAATAATCTCTTCCTCCTTAACACAATCATAGTATAAATCCATGTGCCCATGGAGATCTGCAGAAAAAAACAAAATATAATTAAAAGCCATTCTGACATTGGCCATACTAATAACATCTAAAGGACTTCAAATCATTTAAGCACTTCTCTACCATGAATTCTTCACAGTGGCCTGTGAGAAGCTGCTGTGCAGAATTCCTGTAGCTAAGTGAGCCAGCTCTCAACTGTGCCTCAGCTGGAAGATTTTTTGAAAACTGCCAGCTTACCTCCTAAGGGTGAGGTTTGAGAGTTTTATGTTTTTCTTTTTAAATAAGTTTCAGACCTTTGGCTTGTTGTGGATTAGCACAACTCCATTGAAGTCTACCACAACACCCAGATTTTTAAAGGTATTTAGGTATGTACAAATAGCAGAATTTTAAGCAGACGAACTTTCTGTCTCTTGAAACAGATCAGCCCTGACAGACACCATCTCTGTATTCTCCTGCTTAAAAGCTTTTGAAAACATGGAGCTAAATCTGCAACTTTTATGTTAAAAAGTTAACTGGGAGTGATATAGAATCACTGTTGTGGCAGTGATTCAAATTTATGCCAGTTGACAAATTTTAAAGAACCCAGGAAGGCTTATCCTGTCATAGAAATGTCCAAATATATGTTATATATATATATATATATATAAAATAAGTATGCACTGTAGAAGAAATATATATACCAATTGCAGGGTAGGCAAAAACATTAGATTGGATGCACTAGATCCCTGTTGCAGTGTGGGAGACAATGTGGATTCAGCCAGTGTTCAAGGAATTGTTCTTCTGATCTCTGCTCCAAGCGCTGGAGATAAAGCATATACTCCTATTTAAAGAAAAGAAGAAGTAATTTCGTTATGTAATCACTCCATTCTAATGTCAGGCCAGTGAACCAGCAGAATTTTACAGCTTAAGTAAGAGCAATTCATTTACCTCTTAAAATAATCGAATATAGTGAAATAGTGTTGCTAGTCAGCTTGCCCCAACCTGGCAATATTTAATGAATGACATCATCATCCAGATCAGTAAAGGTGGCAAGCAAGAATTTTACAACAATATTCATAAATTTGGAAGTCTACATACACATTTCTCATTTGCATATCGACACAGAAGCCTCTATTGGTCCTGAGGGCACAGAGGATTCTCACGGATAGGTCTGTTGTAGCCTCTTTTGAAAATTGATTCCTGCTGATTAAAGAACATTAACCCCTTGTAGGATCATGTGGCAGAACTCTGAAGGGTTCTAGGAGGGTAGCACACATCAGTGCTGACTGGTCTTTCTGTGATAAATAAAATAATGTGAATTTCCCATACCAATTCATAAGGAGAGGGTTTGGTCTAAGCAACAAATTACCAAAGTAAAGTGGGCTGTGTATCAAAAACTTGACCTCCTTCAGGAACAAAATTTACTTTTAAAAAGCCCCAGTCCCAGTGCATGTGGGCTCATAAGCTTTGTGAACAGTAGATACATTTATTCCAAATACACCCCATTGCTTTGCACAGCAGGCACTGTTGGAATGGAAGCTGTAGCCTAAACCCTTTGCACTGGCCAAGTATTCCTGCTGTCATCCAGCTCCCTGCTCTTTGTGCTGAGCAGAGGGTGGGTACCCTGGGTGCCAGCAGGCAGCATTAGATTCCTGCCTTTTACTGGGCTTTCTCTCCTCACAGCACAGGGAGACTTGGCTCAAGTCCCTGGTGAGAGACTGCATTAGGAGCTGGCAGAGAACAGAACTATATGACTGAGAAGAGGCCACGTTATAAAAAGCAGGATCTCAGTCAAAGTAAGATTAAAACATGCTGACAACATAAATTACATTTTTGTAATAAACAAAGGGGGCAGATCTTGCTGTCTGTAACTGAACAGGTTTTTGACTCCAGCAGCACTGTGGAAGTCAGAGAGTGTCACAAAGAATTGCAAATTACATTCCCCAGCTCAGCATGATCTGGCCTAGTACAAACAGCTTTTGCTTAAAATAGATGAACAGAGGTGGGTTCATCCCAGAAATCATTTCATTCTGCTACAAAGCATCCATACAAAATCAGTTTTTCTCCTTGAGCCAGTGGTAGAACTGTGCACAGGGATGCAGCAGCCTTGCACCTTCACTCACAAGGGACAATCTCCATTTTCCACATGGCAGCAAGGGCTGGCTTTTTACCAGAAGATGTTTCCTTTGCTACTGAAAACCTTGACAATTAGTGAGCAAAACAAACACTCTTATGTTTGGGTTTTCTTACAGAAGGTCAACTTTGCTGTCTAGAAAAAAAAAAAAGAAAAAGAAGGTTGGAATTCCTCACAAGTGTTTGCTCCTAATTGAGTAGGATGGAGAGTGGCAAGGACAGAGCAGATGAGTCAGTGATACAACACTTCTCTAGCCTTGGCTCCCTACTCTCCCCACACAATGTCATAGACTCATAGAGTGTCTGGAGTGGGAAGGAAGCCATAAGGATCATAAAGTCCAACTCCCTGCTCCTCACAGGACTCCCTAAAACTAAGCCATAGACTAAATGCTGCACGTCTGCTTGTAACTTCTTGCAATACAGGATTTACCTCAACCCAACTGTTCTACTGCTTTATTTACTTTGTATTCAATATGTGCTATATTTACTATATAACATTAATCCTGGTGGTGTATTAAGCATGAGCACAGATGGGAGCTGTATTCCTGCTAATTTGCAAAAACTGCAGGGCTCATTTAACAACAGCTTAGAAACCAACCAAGTCCTGAGTGTTGTGGGCAGCAGTGAAGCCTTGTGAGTTTTGGCTCTGTTGTGCAACCCTCAGTGTACAAGGCTGTTAACAAGTGTGGAGCAACATCCTTGTGACAGCTTTGATTTGTCGTGGTGTCACACCTGACAAACAGCGTGTCCATCCAGAGTGGTGCATGGCCAGGTGGACTCTTTTTGGCTGGTGTACAATACCCACTGGAAAGGGAAAACCAGGAGCTGTCTCCACAGTCCTGGCACAGTCTGAGCTCAATCCTCAAGGTCTCTAGTGCTCCTCATGTCTTACAGAGTTCAGAGATGTTCAGTACCTCGCCAAACTGAGCCCCTTGCACTCGTCACACACTCACAGTCCGTTGGTGCTTCTGGCTTCTGTGGGGTTTGCCTCTTCAGAACCATGTAATTTTAGCTCAGTTTATTTACTTTGGAAAGGAGCAAGCAGTAATTTTAAAATACCTTAAGTACCCTTGAGAAGTGCAGAATTATATGTTACATCTTGTCAAAGCAAGTAAAACAGAAGGCCTTTTAATTCTTTTACTTTTTCTTTTGTTGTAATGGGGTTTAGAAATAAATATGTGTAGATATCACACGCAAACCCAATGCTGTTGCATTAAGCTAGCAACTAAAAACTCCTACAATATCATTAAAAAAATCCTATCTGTAGCACTCATAAATAAGTGAATGAAAGTGATTTTAAAAGCTAGTTGAGAACTACCTCAATCTCCACACTGACCACTGACACCTGCATCTCCTCTCTGCCCACAGTGCAGAATGTACTGCAAGCAGAAGACATTTCCTGTTATTTAGTTTTTCAGGAACAACCTGATGAAATCCACATTTCTATAAATGAAAAGCCACTTTCTTCTCGATAATTCGATTGGTGTTTTTGAGCCATGATAAATAATCTGCACGTTCTGCGAGTGAACATTTCCTGAGCAATACTCAGCACTTACCGAGAGAATGCAAAGGGTTTTTTTAACATTTCACGGCAGAACTCAGCAGCTGAAAAGGGTGACACTCATAACATATTGCTTGGAATTAAATCTGTAGAAACTTAATGCTAAGCACAAATGTTTTGGGGGTTTTGGTGTTGGGGTTTTTTAGTTAATGTAGTTTAATAGTAAATGTCAAATCACCCTCATTGGCTCGTCAGGGAAACCAGCTTTTCTCGGTCTGCTTTCACGACGAGTTCTCAGAAGCTGTTTGGCCTCTTTTTCAGACAAAATTGGTGAAGTGTCTAAAGACAGAAAAGCAGAAATTAGATCTGAAATTATTAAAAAGTTAATATTTTACCTGTCACTTGCAAAATGAAGTGTCTCCAAACCTGATTTTTGTCTATATACAAAGTGCTCTTTCTTTACAGCCCCTTCCTAGGGGATATTGCATTCCAGGAGATAGGAGTGGAATTTTAAACTATTTTTATACTCGTGTTTTCTCTAGTTCTACTAGTAGGAAGCAAAGTCTACATATTCATGTTACTATAAAATGAGGAACTATAACAGCACCATGTAACCACTGGCATTAGTGACTCTTCCAGCTCTTTGTTCTTTTCTGTGTTGCTTTATAAGATTCTTTTTCAAAGTAATGAGTTAGATGTTGAAAAGGAGAGATTGCAATGAACATTCCACTTGCAGGACCTTGGTAAAATAAGATTTAAATAGTAAGCTCCTAAAATTAAACTTTTGGGGTTTACAACAAATTACTACAGTGTGGTGATGCAGAGAGTTAAACACCAAATACAACAGCATGACTGTTAAAAATCAAATAGTAGAAACCCTGCAGTATAAAAAGTTAAGTACTAAAAGTGAAAGATATGAAAATATATGAATAATGAAAACTAAAATAGAAGGTTGAACTACTACTACTTATATGCTCTTCAGCTCTACACACATACACAGGTTTGTTGATATAGACTCCTACCTGTAACAGTGGTCATCAGGACCAAAAAGGAGACAAACACAAGAAACTTCTTCATTTTGATTCTGCGTTCTCTCGGTCTGTTCCAAAATGAGTAACACTGACCAAGGCATCCTCCTATTTGAAGCAGCTACGTCGGTCACAAATGTTTGTTTATGCTTTAATTTGGGCAATAGTATGATTTTGAGAACAGCTGATCTGAAGGTTTGAATTAGTCTATTATCTGCACACACATTCTCAGCATAGCTCTGTTCCTGGGGGAAAGAAAATAGAAAACCTTTTTTCCGCTTCAGGCTTCGGAGTTACACTGGGTATTTTAGATTTGTGAAAATAAAGCACATCACCTTACATTTGGCACAGCAAGCGAAGGTTTTGGGTGCCTAAAGTATATTAGGGTTTTTTAAAGAAACAATTGCCTACTACAGAATGTTAATCTCAAAGGCAGCTGCAAATCTTTTTCAAAGATTGTCTCTAACTTTACTCCAGCAGAGAAGTACATAGTAAAGGGGTTTAACTCTAGCAAAGCCAAATTATCACTGCTGAGAAACACAGCAGAGTTTTTTACCAAATTAATAGAATCATACAAGTGAAAACTCACATAATTCCTCTTTTTGCAGGACAAGCTAGTAGAAAATAGGATTATAAATGTCCTTACTAGTAAACACAGTGTGAAGTAAGGATGAAGGTTAACAAATGTCACTGCGAACAGGTAGTTTCAGCATTGAGAAATGTGACTGTCTGGAGCTCTCCTGGGCAGTGCCATGTTGGACATAAAAATCTAAAAGCTAAAAATGTGAGTGCTGTGGTGATGGGGCAGTTCAGGAGTCTGGCTGTTCTGACATGCTTTTCTGATAGGACTTTTCTTGGAAACCTGGGTATTGCCCACCTGTGGAGCATTTGCATTTTTCAGCCTGTGATTTAAGATACCAAGACCCTAAAATCCCAAGAAATTTTTTATATATTGTATGGATTTATGTCATCGCTCAAGATACTGTTTTGAAAGCACAAAAACCTGTAGGTTCTAATAGCAGTCACTGTTCTTAGAACTGCTGCAGGGGAAACAGCCGAACACATGAGGGCAGAATGAAATTATGGGGGGAAACGTTTATGTTGGGCAATAAAGGCACAACTCGGAGGGACCTCATTGCTCTCCACAACCACCTCAAAGGAGGGTGTAGTGAGGTGGGGGCAGGTCTCTTCTGCCGTGCCTGCAGTGAGAGGACTAGAAATGGCCTTAATCTGAGACAGGAGAGATTCAGATTAGATATTAGAAAAATTTTTCACTGTTTGTATGGTGAGGCATTGGAACAGGTTGCCCGGGGAGGTGGTGGAGTCACCATTCCTAGAGGTGTTTACGAGAAGCTGGGCGATGTGGTTTGGTGGTTTAGGGGTTACAGTGGCAGTGCTGCTGGACGGTGTGACTGGATGATCTTAAAGGTCTCTTCCAGCCTTGATGATTCCGTGACTCTACGACAGAACGAAATTATGGGGAAGAGCATTTATGGTTGGGCAAGGCAGACACAAACAGGGCGGTGATTCGGCCTTCGCCTCGGGCCCGGGTCAGGCGGAGCCGGAGCCGAACCGCTCCGTCACGCACTGTGGCGGGTGCTGGAGGCCCCCCTGGCGACATCCCCGATGTCGCGACAGGCCGGGGCGGGCGGCGCCCGTCTCCTGGCAACCGCCCTCGGCCGCTTCTTCCGCTTCCGCCGCCCGCGCGTCCCGCGGCGCCGCTCGGTCCGCGCCGTGTCCTGCGGGCCCGGCACTGCCCCGGCACTGCCCCGCCGGCGGGGACCTCCGCGGGCCGAGGGAGCGGCGCGGGGGGCGAGGGGCCGCGGGCGGGGCCGCGCCGTGCCCCCCGCGGAGGGAAGGGCGAGGGGCGGCCGGGGCCGAGCGGCCGCTCCCCCGCGGGAGCAGCCCCGGGGGCGGCCCGGCCCCGCGCACGGCCCGGGCGGGCGGCGGAGGAGCCCCCGCAGGAAGCCTCTCGCCCGCCCCATGTGGCGCAGGTCGGTGCCGAGCCGCGGGCAGGGATTAGAGGATGGTTCATGAAGCTGCGCGCTGGCTCCCTGAGCGAAGGGGCCGTGCCGGGGCTCGCCTCGCCGCCCGCCCGAGCGGAGCGAGGGGTTAGTGCGGGGAGCCGCGGGGATGGAGGGCCCGGGCGGGGCCGACTGGCGCCTGGCGCTCTGGACGCTGTTCTCCGTGCTGCTGCCCGTGCTCATCACCGCCTGGTGCAGCTTCCAGCGGTCGCGGCGGCAGCTGCTGATACGGGACATCTTCCGCAAGAGCAAGCACGACTGGCACTACACGGACCTGTTCGGGCAGCCCTCGTACTGCTGCGTGTGCGCCCAGCACATGCTGCGCGGAGCCTTCTGCGGCTGCTGCGGGCTGCGCGCCAGCGAGCGCTGCCTCAAGAAGGCGGACCAGCGCTTCCTCTGCAAGGAGATCATGACAAGAGGCGCCGGGGCAGCCCAAAGCTCCATCCCACACCACTGGGTCAGGGGCAACGTCCCCCTCTGCAGCTGCTGCGTGGTGTGCAAGCAGCAGTGCGGCACCCAGCCCAAGCTCTGCGACTACAGGTACTGCTGGGGGCTTAGACTCTCTAACACAGCGTACGGTGCCCTGTCAGTGTTGTATTTTCTGCAGGGCTCATGGTAGACATCACCCCCGAGGAGGTCCTGCAGTAGTCAGATAAGAAATCGTTAAAAAACAACAACTTCAAAGAGCCTAAAATTAAAATGGATGCTTGTGGGTAATTTGAGTCATAGATTAAGATTAGTGTGGCATTGCATCTCATGTCCACTCGTTCTCTTAATTGCATTACTCCAGCACGATGGGCAAGCTGCTGTGTAGTTACATAGAAGAGACTCTCTGTGTCCAAGAGAGTTTGTGTTTTAGGGGGTGACATTAAGAAGGTTCTGATACATTTGTCATTTGTACAGTGGGTAGCCTTAGCAATGGGGGGCACAGCTCACAGTTTAGAACACCAGTGTGTTTGCACACCTCAAAATTGGCATCTGCTCAGTGCAAATAGAACAAACAACTGTCCTATAGAGGTTTCAGGTTTATTTTTAAGGATGCACAAAAAAAGCTAATGGGAAGTTTTATAACCTACTGTAATACAATGTGTTGTTAAAAGTTTCTGCTAAGAGTGTTTAAAAATGCAAGGAACCATTAAATGGGCTTTCACTGTCATTAGTAAGGCTGCTTGCAAAGTTGGCTGTGCCATGTTGTGCCAAAATACAGTGATAGTGCCCCAGGTCCTGACTACAGTGTGTTGGTTCAGCCTTCCCAAAGGATGTCCTCTTTTAAGCATATATTCTGCCAGCTTTTGCTTTGCTTCTGTGTGATACTGGCAAAGTGCTTGGTAAGTAAGCAGAATTACAGTATAAGAGTATTACTTTCAGAAACAGAACCTTGAGAGTGTGTGTAGGAGAGGAGGAAAGGGGAGGAATTTGGAGGCAAAGGGGAAAGGAAGGAAGAAGAGGAAAAGAAAGTCACGGTATAGGGCAAGTATCGTTGGTACTCGTGTGTTGGATTAGTCAGGGGAACTCCAAAAATAGCTTTCCCAGCTGCTTAAATCAAGGCTTTGGATGTACCAAATGAGGATTAACATTCTGCAGAGGCTGGTAGTGGATATTGCAGTATTTCCTCTTGTTCCAGTCCGTTTTCCAGGGCAGCTTTTAGAAGAGGTCAAAAAACACAGCAGTTTTGCATAACAAAATTCCACCAGCATTGCACTGTGCCTTTTAGGTTTCAGATTTAAAGGGGTATTAGCAGTATTAAGAAATGCATCAATTAATATTACCAGTAGTACTTTATTGAATTGAACTCAAATGTTTTATCTGTGCTCTTTAAGGACGGAGAGGAGTTCAGGTTCTCATACAGGCTTTCAGTGTAACTGTTAATATCACAAACAATGCAGGAGGATATTTATAGCACCTATATTTTACTGAGAACAAAATTAATTTACAACTCTCGGGGGTTTTTTCCCCACAGAATTCAAATGCTTTCCTAGACTTGAAAGCACAGGAGCAATTTATGTAATTTTCTGTAGCCAATACCTAGTTTTCCAGGGAATGCAGGGTTTTCCCTGTAATGTGCTTTAAATATTACTTATAATGGTGTGTGCCAACATAAGTACTTTGCTGAAAGTTAGTCTGTCTAAAATAATTGAACAGAATCAACATGCCTGTTGTTTGAGGGTTGTTTTCATGTTCTTTGGTCTTTTATTCCAGATGTGCATGGTGTCAGTACACTGTGCATGATGAATGCATGGTGGATTGTTTAAGGACTGAGGAGTGTACATTTGGAGAATTCAAAGACTTAATTATCCCACCCTACTATTTGTCTACAATCAACCAGATGCGAAAAGACAAAAAAACCAGTTATGAAAAGGTAATGGCCTCCTGCTTCTTGGACCAAATAAACCCACAAACACACAATGAAACTTGAACTCAGTGCATTGTCAGGTTAATAACTATAAGCTAAATGTTCCAAGGTATAATAAATACTTGCTGTGCTAATTCAGAGGTGTTTGTCATTTTACTAACATGGTTGTTGAAGCACAAGTGTACAGGTGAGCTTTTTTATTCCAAAATACTGAGCTTTGGGTACCTTACTTTCTTGAACGTTTTGTGATTATATTTTTTTTTTTACTGCTGTGTTCATAACATTGTAGTGTGTTTATTTTTCTGGGGACTGCAGAATCTTCAGCCTTGGTGTGTCAGGAATATTTGTTTCTGTTCTGACTGCTTCAGACTAATTGGTGACTTCCTCCTCTCAGTGCTTACAGGGGATGGGTTTTGGAGCAAGGCTGAAAACACTTTCAAACGTGCAGTATTTGTGTGACTGACTGACTTTCACCGTTTGCAGGTGATACCTTACTGCAGAAAACACTGGATGCCAGTGATCATACTGGCAAATACTCGCAGTGGGAACAACATGGGTGAAACTTTACTTGGAGAATTTAAAATGCTGCTGAACCCCGTTCAGGTACTTGCTGTGAAAAGCCACTATCCTAAAATGAGGGTTTAAATTAGAATAAGCATCACTTCGCTTACACAATGGCAGCAGGGTCTTGTGGAAGATCAGTAGGAAACAAATTCATGCAGTTTGCTCCTTCAGAAAGAACAGCTTCATAAAGAGAAACCAAAAGTGTAGAGGCTCCTCCCACCCCCAAGTTTGTTGTGATTCTAATACCAGTCCAGATTTTTTTATTTACAGTAATAATGCAGTCATTAAGTTAATGAGAAGTATCTGACTCTTGAAACAGGGTACACTTTTTGGAAAATGAAGTATTTAGATATTCTTAATTTGAAACCTGTATTTTAAATCCTCACTTGTGGAAATGTCAGCATTTACAGTTTCTGCTGTGTGTAGTTGCTTTCCCTTTAAAATCCCTGTGGGATGGCACAGGATGTTGATGTAAGGCAGGCAGTTGTTCCCTGGATTTCCTGGCTGCACCTTAATACTCTTCCTTTGAAGTTCAAAACCCAGCCATGGAATACAGCCTAAGAGAAATCACTGTGCATTTGTTTTAAATGCATCCTAATAAGGCTTTAAAGAATAAACCTCTTTGTGTGCTGGGTGTTTTAAAATTACTTTTATCTGAAGTCTTTCATCTTCACAGAATTCATCATCATGCTTCTACATACAGATTTTTCTAAGGACTCTCTCAGCTCAGTTTAATAAAGTCCATTTAATCCTAGTGAGACAGCTGGAGCTGTTGTGAATTTGGGAAACCAAATCCTGCTCATAAAAGTCAGGACAGCTCGTTTGCTAATGTGATATTGTAAATGGAGGATCTTTGTTTTGCATTGGAATGAGCTTCTCGAAGTTGTTTATCCATGAGGCAAATCCTGAGTCATGTCGTGTGAACTGATGGAATTCCTTATTTCCCTTTCTTCCAGGTTTTTGATCTGAGCAAAATTGCACCTGCTAAAGCCCTCCAGCTTTGTACCTTGCTGCCTTGCAACGCTGTCAGGGTTCTTGTCTGTGGTGGGGATGGCACAGTGGGCTGGGTCCTGGATGCCATTGATGAAATGAAGATAAAGGTATTGTGGTTTTAATTTTAAAAATGTCTTAATGATGAAATGAGTTTTGTTGCTGTTGTTGCTACCCCTAATCTCTTACCTGCATTTATTGCCTTCATCTTCCTGAATAGGCCTGCAGAGAAATGTTTGCAGAATTGCTTATTCATATTGGGGGAGGGCTGAGGGAAGTGCATCTTATAGTTCAGGAAAAATATGACAGCTTTTTAAAGTTGTTCTCTTCTGTAAAACAAGACAAGAACAAGCTGCAGGATATTTTATGCATTGTTATTTCCTCTTTGTC